GTACAAGATAGTAAGCAGGTACTGGAGCATTCCAAAGAGCAGGGGAGTGGTTGGGAGACAAACAAAAGCCAAAGGTGTGAAACTGAGTAGTCCTGTCTCTTTCCAGCTGGAAAGCACAGTCATGGTCACATGATTTTCCACTTAGCGACTGCTTTGCTTAGTGGCAGAGTTGCCGATCCAAATTAGGGTCATTAAGTGAGGACTACCTGTAAGCAGCCAGTTAAGATGGCTCCAAGTTTGAGGAAGCTTGGGAAAAAAATTATTTTTGGCAGGCAGTGGGCTTCCCTTTAGCATTTGATTTTGATTTCATACAATATCTGGGGCATCCAATATAGTATTACTCCAAGTTATTGTGAAAACTACAATGGCTCACATTATCCTGGGGTACTAGTAGATTCAATAATGTTCTCAAGATGCCAAGAATCAATGCCTGGGCTTGTCCTGCATTAAAACATTGTCATAACTAATTAAAAGAACACAATTAGGAGAGCTAGGAAAGCTGTTGGATTGCAAATCAACTTTTCCTTTAGACCACAATGTTTCTAGCTTTATTGGGAAACATCTGAAGTGGTTCAGCAGCCCAATGGGGCAACTTGTGAGAAAATTTTTATCTTGCTCTGCCTCCCAAGCTCAAGTCAGCCATTACACAGCACCTGAAATGAAGCTGGGTCTACCTCCACTCCACCTCCCTCAGAAAGGTTCAGTATTTTGTTCCTGAAGCTTCCAATGTATCTTTGGTTATGTGTTATTGATCTTCCTTCATTCAACCCATGTGATGTAGCACCATGATACTATGTTCACTAGTGTTGGGAAAGGTGATTGAACAAACATTTGCTGGCATGCCACCATTTATAACTCTCAGGATTTGGAATGCAACAGGGTCTGGTGTCATGGCACCCAGAAGCTTTTGAAGACTTAAATTTATATTTTTAATCAACTACTGTATTTCAGAACAGCCTCTGAGATTTTCTTTGCAAAACCACAGACAAATGTGCACAGATACATATACATACAGGAAGTATGAGGGAAACTAGCATGTTTTTCCTATTGTAAATGAGGGAGTGAAGACATATTTACAATCTAGAAGAAACTTTTTCCCCCAATGGTTCACTATAACAGCTGAGTCTTTTCTGCCTCTCAAAGAAAAGTCATAGCCTCCCAGAAACGTTGTCAGCCAAAAAAGGGAATAAACCTACAGCAATCCTATAACCACTTTTCATATTTAATGTCTAATTATTTTTCATGTTTCTGAATGTAATCATTGTTTTGATTCTTTCAAAGCACCCAATCACAAGATCAGGAGACAGGAATCTGTGTACATCTTTCTGTAACTATAATTGGAACATTAAAAATAAATTTATCTAACCAGAGGAAATTTAGCACTAATGGAAAGATGCTCACAGAATATTAAGTATACAGCAGTAACTTAGACCAGAACATGAGTGAAGCAGGTGGAAGAGTCAAGGGCATGCCCTAATCTGACAAACTAGAGAAGGCACATACATTCCTCTGCATTTAAAACACAGAAAGGGCATATTAAACATATAACCTCCAACTGACTTTCCATTGCCAGTGGAGATCTGTGATAGCATTTGCATTCCTTCATCCATATAGCAACACCTGCACTTAATGTAAAAATGAATTGTGTGCAGATTCATTTCTGAATAGATATTTGAAGCCCTGATTATAGAAGAGGAGGAGGAGAAAGGGCTATGTATCTCATATGACATCAGCCTTGTCTTCCTTGCAATGTGAAGCACGTAGCTTCTTCCACCTTTGCTCTTCAAATGTCAATGCTTGTTTCAGAATATAACACCAATTGCCCCCCCACTTTCCATAAGTGTTCAACCTTTTTAATTATTTTCACAGAGCGTGTTGCTCTTATCTGATTAAACTTTTGTTCAGAAATAATTCATTTCCAAACATGATTCAAATGAAAGCAATGAAACTTCATGGTTTCCACAGAGACAGCACAACTTTTCATTTTGATTTTATTCAGTGATTTTTCAGCATTAAGTGCACTTCAGAACATTCCTGCACCACATTGTACATGAACATTCATATGTACTTTTATGTGGATCCTTCCTGATACATGCATTTTTGTGTATATATTCCCTCATGTACATTTGGTGAACACTTTCTCTGAATATATGCATTCAGTACATATAATGGCTATCTACACTTTAGTTACAATCTACCCTGACTACTGCAACTTATTTTATGCAGCCGTACTTCTGAAAAGTACAATTGGTAGAAAATGTGGGGGCCAAGCTATTGGCCAGTGCAAGATAAAGGGATCACATGTACCACATGTACTGAAAGATCAGCACTGGTTTCCAACAGCCTATCCAAATAGAGATGCTTGTGTTGACCTTTCAAATCCTGAATGACTTAGTGCCTCCCACTATGAATCTGCATGATTACTTGGATCAGCCAGAGAGGATCTTTTGAAGGTCCCCCTACTGTTGGAAGCTCAGGTTCTGATACATAGAAGAGGCCCTTGCCTGTGTTACTCCTAAGCTATGAATGCACTCCCCAAGGGGAGGGCTAGGCTCCCATTCTCCCAATATTTAGGAAAAGGGCAAAAATGATTTTGATCACCAAATTTAACTGTTAATTCTGTTTCTGATATTTTAATTATACTTTATTTATATTTTATTTAATTGCATTTATTTTATGGATCAGTTACATACTTTGAATATAGTACCCATATATACATAGAATATATAATATGTAGTTGAGGGTTTACATAAGATGCGGGTGAGAGGACCTTGCTACAGTGATTCATGCCTTCATCACTACCCTTTTATAGACTACTACAATGCACTCTAGATGAGGCTGCCTTTATAGTCTGCTCAGCTGATTTATTTTAATCTCCTCTTGTCATTTTTACGCTAATCAATGCCAGCAAGTAATAAAACTGAACATCCATCATACCTTTGCAAAATACAAAGCTTATAGAGCTCCAAAGAACTCAAAATTAAAGTACTGATGCTAAGGAAGAAGACAGAGCAGAAGAAATATCAACAGGAGACATGGTGCTACTCACTTCCTGGGCTTTTCATCTTTTGTTTCTGCTACATGGTATCCAGGCTTACACTTGTAGCGACAGACAGATCCCACATCATGATTCCCTTGCTTGCATCGAGGTAGCAAAAGCTCAGCATTGGCAACTGGGCCTGGAGGGTCGCACTCCAGTTTGCAGTAAGCTTCTGGAAGTGACCAGAGTCCATCCTCCAGGCAGGTGATCCACTGATTAACCCCTGATTTCAAGCAAGAGAAAGAAAAAGAAACAAACCTACTCAGAGTGTGGGATAACCAGTTATCTTGAACCTTAGGCTGAATTGTACTCTGGCCCAGTTTTCTCTACCCTCACCCTTTATTTGTTAATTTGGACAGACTTTTAGGCTGCTTCAATCTGTCTCCAAGTAGTATGCACAGTATACAATAGCAATGAATAATTACAATAGGAAATGCTAAGCTCTCTGTTTGCACCATCTTTCTCTGTTGTTCTTTGGCAGTGTGAAATACAGCTTTTATCTGGCAAATGCCACATTTATTTTCTGGAAGATGCAAGCAATAACACTGCAAGGCAAGTAGTCACACTGCATCTTTCATTCATAATCAGGAACAGAAAGAGGTATCCTTAGTCCCCAGTATAATGGCTGGCGCTTGTGAAGGAGAGAGATGCCCTTCACAGCTTGGTGTGATGGAATGTGAGTTTCACTCAGAAAGGGGAGGGGATTGCCAAGCCATTATAGAAAAGATATCTGAGTCCTGTAAAGCATGAGAAAGAAACTAAAAACAACTTTGCTTTGATTGTGGTAGGTATAAGCTGAAGTAGAGAGGGGCTTTGACAGGCTTTCAAGATTTTGTTACCATACCCTAACTGCATTAAAGTACAGGTGCATTCCAAGATTCTGAGTGATCTTGCCTACACTGATCTTGCCTACACTGAAGGGTCTAGAAGATCCCATTTCCTCAAACCCAAAGAACCATGTACTTCCCAGGAGCCTAAGCTAATTTTACATTTCATCCATAAATTGTTGCACTTATATGTTCACTGGGAACTTTTAAGTATTTACTGCAAAGAAAAGTTCCAAATAATTCAGTGTCTCATTCAGAGCTGCCAAATTCAGAGAAGGGGAAATGGGGATTAGGGATATATTACAAGGTCTGGTGGACAGCAGCTTAACTCCTTAAAATACTTAGCATTTGTTAATTTTTTTTTCTCAGAATTTCAAAATCTCCAGATGGAGCATTGATTTGGACATACTGGGATAGATGTGTCTCCCACTTGCAGTCACAATTCCTCCCCAGTACTTCAGCTTCATCAAAGATACTTTGAAAGAAAATAATGGACCCCCCCCCCCATAATTATGCTGCTGTCACCATAATTATAACATGTAAAGAATCTCTTACATTGAGCTCAACTTCTGGTGATTTCTTGGGCACATCCATGCAGTTTTCTTGGCAACAGCACGGAAGTGACTAGATAAAACTTCAAAGAGAAGTAATAAAGGATGCAAACCCCAATATGGCATTCTGTAAAATGTGTTTTATATCATGAGCATCCAAGAGGGGAAGGGTAAGGACAAATGACAAAATATGTGTGCAGTCATTATAGAAATACTATGACTTAACATACTTGCATCAGATGTCAAGCCGCAAGCATATAATACAGGATTTGCATGATGTTACATTCACATGTTGTCATTCTGGCATCATTGCAGTTTGTTGCAGACACCGCTTTTTGTTTGTTTTGTTTTTAAGATGGAGTCAAAGCCAGGCGGTTGTTGCCGGAGCTCCAGGTGGGTGGTGTTGGCATGTTGAAGGTGTCTGGGAGGATAGTTGATGGAGGTGCTCATGGTCGAGAGTTGGACCGGAGAGTCTGGCACAGCACAAGAAATGGTAGTGGTGGCAGTTTTGGGGGGGGAGGAAGCTGGTGAGGAGCAGACCACTGGGAGTGATCTGCTGGACAGCTAGAGAATGGTTGGGTGGCTGGCAGACGATCTTAGATCTGCCCTGAATGTGGACACATAGCTGAAGAGTCCAGTTAGTGGAGGGCATTTTTTAGCAGCAATGCTGGTCAGTTGTTTGCTGATTTATCTGGCTAGCAGAGTGTAGCTTGAAGGCTGATAAAGTAGCTATATGGTGGCGGTGTTGACTGTATCCTACATGTTGGCAGTGATGCAAGTGACAGCACTACGTTGGCAGCTGCTCCAATTTGGCTAGTTTCCATAAACTGCAATGACAGTTGTGACCTGGGTATGCCCATCCTTGGTGTGCTGGAGGTTTTTGGACACCCAGTTTGAGGCAGCAGTGTGAGTGGGAATAGGTCAGTGGTCCTATAAGAGAACCAACCTGCATCCTGCGGCTGATGTGTGACTGGGCACACTGGACAGTGGCCACTCTAGCATTGTATCTCTTTCTTTGCTCCATGCTGTGGACCTTAGACTGAAAGGGACCAGAGTTTCCTTGGCTCTTATTTTTATGGCTTGCGGCAGCTCAGTATACAAATACATAACAAAATTCACATGTTTAGCACTTTCTTCTGAACTTATGCAGGCAATGCTCTTACAAGATTAGCAAAGACACAGGTGTAATTTTCTGGAACTTTGTTCTGCCATCCAAATCTGCCTGAGAATGTCTATCCTACCTTGGAGTTTTGCTGGCTTGATACAGGAAAGGAAGCATCGCTTCAGGAACGTGGTGCCTTTAGGGCAGGAGAACTCTGCATAAAGGACGTGAGATTGGTCTGGAAATTGGCAGTCAATAGGGTTACATGTCACTGATCTGTCCCAGTGCCCAGAGCTACAAGTCAGCAAGATCTCTTTCTGGGAAAGAAAAGTAGACGGGTCAAGAAAAATCAAGAAATTAGTCACTCCTAATTTCAATATTGGTAGAGCTATGTGAAACTACCATTAACTTAGGGGTTTGGGCTAGTCATTCACTTTTAACAAGAGATTAGTTTGGAAATGAACCAAGTGCCTAACAGGTTATCTGCTAGTTCATTTCAATCTGAGCTAAGACACAGGCAAACTGAAATTTACCTCCTTTACTTTTGCCCATAACTCCATGAAAAAAGCAATTCCTCAGTTTTCATTTTAGTCATACATCCTGAATCATAAGCAAATGATTCTTAAAAAGGGGAGTATCTTTGGCCACTTGGCCACTTTGGTTCACAGCCCTGGTAGCAGTGGCACTACTAGGTTTTGTCACTCCTTTCCCTTACTCTTTATACTATTTATTTACTTCTCCTGTTGTCTATGGCATGGGGCCAGGCTACTTATGGGACCACCTTTCTCCCAATGTTTCTGTTCATCCCTCCAGTTTTAACAGAGAAGGCTTGCTCTGGGTCCCTTTTATTAAACAATGCCATTTGTTGGACCCCAGAGTTGGGCCTCCTCAGTGGCAGCACCTGTCCATGGAACAGCATCCCCCTGGAGATATGGATGGCCCCAACCCTTTTAGCCTTTTGGTAGGCCTTGAACCTTGGCTGCTTCCCCCGGCATTTGGGACAGTTGGATAGATGAGCTGAACTGCTATCAGTGTGCTTTTTTTCTTTTCCTGTGAGTGGGATTATTGTTTATTTTTGGGCACCTGGGGTTATATATTGTGGGTTTCTGTATTTTTAATCCTTGTAAGCCACCCAAAGTCATTTGTGTGACAATATGTGGCTATGTACAGTACTGTGCAAAAGTTTTAGGCAGGTGTGAAAAAATGCTGTAAAGTAAGAATGCTTTCAAAATATATATTATAATTGTTTATGTTTATCAATTTACAAAATGCAAAGTGAGCGAACAGAAGACAAATCCAAATCAAATCAATATTTGGTGCGACCACCCTTTTTCTTCAAAACAGCATCAGTTCTTACACTTGCACACTTTGTACACTTGCACAAAGTCAGGACTCTTGTAGGATTATAGTCAGGTGTATGATTAGCCAATTATGCCAAGCAGGTGCTAATAATCATCACTTTCACATGTAAGTTGAAACACAGTCATTAACTGAAACAGAAACAGCTGTGTAGGAGGCTGTGTTGGTGAGGAACAGCCAAACTCTGCTACTAAGGTGAGGTTGTGGAAGACAGTTTCATGTCACAGGTCATACACCATGGAAAGACTGAGCATGGCAACAAGAGACAAGGTAGTTAGACTGCATCAGCAAGGTCTCTCCCAGGCAAAAATTTCAAAGCAGACTGGGGTTTCAAGATGTGCTGTTCAAGCTCTTTTGAAGAAGCACAAAGAAATGGGCAATGCTGAGGACCATAGAAACAGTGGTTGGCCAAGGAAACTTAATGCAGCAGATAGAAGACACATCATGCCTACTTCCCTTTGACATTGGAAGATGTCCAGCAGTGCCATCAGCACAGAACTGGTGGAAACCAGCAGCACCCAGGTACACCCATCTACTGTCCGGAGACG